TAAGACTGGCAATCCAACATATTTAAAGAAAGAATATATCATAAGTAGAAAATGACCACCATAGAAAAGCTGGATATAAAGAAGGAAACTGGGGATCTGGACCAAAACTACTCAAGCCACCGGGAAAAATCTACATTACCGGGACTTTGCCTGCTGGTACAGTGGTTAAGAATCTGCCTTGCAATGCAGGGGACGAAGGTTCAACCCCTGGTGGGGGAAGTAAGATCCCACATGCCACAGAGAAACTAAGCCTGTGCACCATGACTACTGAGCCACCAGGAAAAGACCCCACATGACACGCTAAAGATCTTGAATGCAGCAATTAAGACCCAATGTGGGCAAATAATATTTAAAAAATCTGCACTACTACCAAGCTGGTATCCGTGGGCAACCCCATACACACCCACTTTGCAATATAGACTGCCTTGGCTGTGACAAAAATTAATGCTTTCAGTCATTATAGGAACTCGCATTATCTAGGTAGCATGGGTAGCCCGTTAATTGTATCACTAGAGCTCCCCTTCTATCAAGCCAGTCTGGTTCCTTAGAGTATCATCACAAAGCCAATCAAGGGTCTTTTCTGATGGAAGATGGCCATACTCTTGGACTGTTTTAATTGTTTGTGTATCTGCCAAACGAAGTTCCCCCAACCAGACCACTGCCTGGATGATACACAGCAAGACATTAACTGATGTACTGCAGTGTCAGTTCTCACAGGCTGACACCACGGTGGAAGAGTAGCATGAAACATGGGTTTGGTAGTTAACCCAAATATAATAACTTCCCCCTAACTAAAATGTTATCAGCTCTTTAATTTACAAGCTGCAACTCATTTTAAGATGTCATCTGGCTTCTGCTGATCCCTAATTTGACACCACACCAGCTCAGTTTCTGTGTATACTAGGAACTCAGTAAACAATCTTGTTAGGCTGACTGGGATCCTATCTCCTTGATGAATACTGGTTATGTCCTACTCTAGGAAATAGAGCATAACTTTTCAAATATTTTCAATAATTTCCATATCATGTTTCAGGTGCATATATTTTTTCCCAAATAAACTTCTTGAGTTCCAGACAACTTACTGTTTTATGCTCCAACACTAAGCTGTTGTTAACATTTTGAGAGTTTGAATTATTTATTGTACAATTTTATACACACTGTGTTTTAAGTGCATTATGAAATATTTTGTACAGAATTGGAAAAGTAACTTAATTTTTCTCATCTTCAGATTTCTCATCTCTGGAAATTATCTCAAAGTATCTTTCCATAGTGTCATTTCAATGGGTGCTATAGGATTAAAAAAGAATCATTCAAAATGATAAAGTTATGAATGTGGTAAATATTGCCTGGCTGTTGAAGGTCACTTTCAGGTTTATGAGCTGGTGTTGATGAGAAGCAAGCAATGATCAACCACAGGCAGAAGCTGCAGGGGATGTGGGGAGAGGTTCCTCACAGTGGTCTATGTTCCACATGTAGGAAAAAAAAAAGCAAAAGCCAGTCTTTAGGTTTTAGATGAGGTAGAGGACTGGTTTTATGAACACCCTTCTGCCTCAGTTCTGATGCTCATTGCTGTAGCCCTGTTCTGATTCAACCTAAGCCCTGAACACGGTTGATGAGATAGGGTAAGGTATCATTTTTGTATTTATGCATAATATTAAGGGGTTTTTACATTAGTGAAGATGTGAGCAGAAAGGGAGGATTTTTATATCACAAAATAGTTAATTTTTGAATATTTTAGAATATTAACAAAATTCTCTTGGAACTAAATGGATTATTTCATGTCATGTGTGGGCTGGAAAAAAAGTGACTAAGTTCAGAATTGACATTAAAAATGAAATGTTTATTTCTAGTCATCTGAGAGTGGGTCTTCACTGGGGAGGTTAACATTTTAAACTGACTCCACAGTTTAGAAGCAACAAATCTAGTACTGTCTGCCTGCTACACTGTTATTTTAAATTATCATCATTTTTTTTTATCTTGGCCACACGTTGAAGCTTGTGGGATCTCAGTTCTCCAGGGATTGAACCTGGGTCACAGCAGTGAAAGCGACAAATCCTAACCACCAGACTACTAGGGAATTCTACTATTATTTTTAAATCAAGTCTTCCTTTTCCATACCTTATTGAAAATTCAGGGCTGGTCATACCTCTTCCAGCCAAGAAGTGCTCGGAAGATCACATCACTGTGATATTCCTTCCTTAGTCTCACTTCCAAAAATTGTATAGTACATAATCCCACTGCTACCACCAATAGAAACAGATTGGAAGACTTATACAAGGATCAGACTCAAACATGTAGCCATTAACTAAACTTGTTTCAAAACTGGCAAAGATACACCATACTTTCCTTTGATAACAGCCAAGTAGACACAATACCTGGTGGTTGGTGTCAGTGCAGCTCCTTCAATTTCCCTCAGTACAATGGATACTGCTTATTTGTAGACTTATATTAAGGAAGAGGCTTGTACAAAGTTGTCTCATGAAGTCTGAGAAGTCCAGACTTTCTGGGCCTTTATATATACCTCAGTCATATGAGCAAAACACTTCAGGTCTTGATTTTTGTGTGCCATTGCCTTGTGAATTCAGTATATACAATTTAAATCTGTGTATAAGATACCTATTTATTTTATGTATCCCCTTATCTGACTACCTCTGTGGGGTTTAATTGTTGGGGTGTGCTCTCCATGTGAATTTCCACTATGCTTGGATGGCTGTCTCATTTTCAAATAATCACCGGCCAGTGTAAGAAGTAAGCTTATTTACTGTGAACCTGACCCTAGCTCACAGTAACTAAGCACGAATAGCCAAAAGCCTTGGGGTAATTCACATTGGTTCAATACATTTTGAAACTAACTTCTTATATATCTTAATTTTGTACTCCCAGTGAGTATCTTGAATTATAGTAGGCACTCCATATTATTATTAGATGAACAACTATATCTCTATTTAAAACTAATGGGCTGCTCCAAAAGATGTTGAGTTCTCTAACAATGGAGCCAAGAAAAGAAAATCATCTGTTAGAGATGTAAGAGAAAGGGAGCAAACAACCCAAGTGACTCGAACTAAAGTCCTAATTGCTTTAGGAATCGACTCTAGTATCAAAACACTATTTTCATCTTTTAGATGGATAGTTGTGATAGGAGTCCCACAAGATAATTGCCTAAAGGTGACCTAACATCTACCCTCTTCCTGCCATGTCTAGATTTCTTCCTTCCGTTAGGAAGTTGACTGGCTTAAAAAGCATGATTATGGTCTTCTGGGCTCAAGTTTTCTGGACTGCTTCAACAAAAAGAGACTATTTTCACCAAGAAAGAATAATACCTTTAAATAACACTGATGTCTATTGGTTTAGAAATCCCTTTTCCTACCTCGTTGATAAATATTTCGATAAATAGAGAAAAAACTCATCCTTCTTAATTTTAATTATGATGACTGAATTTAACCAAGGTCCATGGAGAGAGTGTGTGAAAGTAGTAAACTGACCCCTACTCATGACACACAAACAGAAGTAAAGTCTTAAGGCTTACTCAGGTACTTATCATTTTATGCAACCTGAAACTACTTAATATATACAAACAAACGGGTTCAAACCTAAGTTTGGACTGAATATCTAACACTTTCTTCAATTATGTTTCTTTCCTAGGGCAGCCAAGTCACCTCCTATGAGATCCACTGTATCTCTATGGACTCTATTTACCACTTAGTGAATGATGAATATGCCTTAAGCATGGTAGAATCTATTTCATTTTGTTAGGAACAAATAACCATACTCTGTTCAGCATGTACAAAGCTATTGCTTTATTCAGCTGGGAAGCTGGGAAAAGGCTTCCTTTTGGAATGAACAGCAAAGATGTGTTCATGAACAAGGCACTTTTACACACACACACACACGCATGCACACACACAGAAAAAGGAACATATTACTGTTACATAAACATCAACATATTTTAATTTTCAGATCTCCCTACTTCTTCCCACCTCCCTCTTTGAAAAAAAAGAAACATGTTTTTGTAACATTAAAAAAAAAAAAAAAAAACAATTTCATAGAACATCTACATAGGAGCAGTTACTGTTACATTCAGTTACACTAACATTATATGGTTTCAGTTCAGTAATTTTCCATTAACAAATATTTTTTTCTACCCACTATAATTCCCTCCTTTTCCTTAAGATGAAACAACTAAGGTTCAGTAGAAATTTCTCATTAGGTTAGAAACATTCTTCTTTCTCAAAAGTTGCTATACATTTATAGAATTTGTGATTCCATTAATGCTTCCATTTTTTGATGCCACATTGTATACAGCACTTAATTATGGAGAACAGGAAAAAGCAAAAATAAAATAAGGATGTGTGTATATATATATATATATATATATATATATATCTTTAACAATCTATTTTCTGATTCCCTTTAGATGACCAGTCAACCAGGATCACATACAGATTTCCTCTTTATTGTAGGTGTGTGAAAAGACTTACTCATCTCACACATTTTATGTATGTTGATTTCTATGTTTAGACACAGCAAGACTCATTTGCAAGGGTATGTATGGTTTCTATTCAACCAGAAAAAAAATCTAAAGTTAGACACAGAAACACTTCAGATTGTATTAGGCTGAGATTTTCTGCAGTAAAGTTCTTTAAAGTTAGAAGCGTTCCTAAAAAGTTTGCAACAGATGTGGAAAGTGCATGAATACTGCTCCAGGAAACATATAGATAAAATACTTTCATCTTTCCCATTGGTCTTTTGGAATGTGTTTTATTTGCTACCAACTAAAGTCTAGATGCCAGGATGCAGGAAATATATTCCATACAGAATAAGTGTTTGTTTTAACTCCATGTATGATCTTACAAGGCTGCTCACATGATGCAGTGGTAAAGAATCCGCCTGCCAATGCAGGAGACGCAAGAGATGCAGGTTCATCTCTGGGTCAGAAAGATTCCCTGGAGTAGGAAATGGCAACCTATTCCAGTATTCTTGCATGGAAAATTCCATGGATAGAAGAACCTTGCAGGCTACAGTCCATGGGGTTGCAAAGAGTCAAAAAAGACTGAGCACACACACACACATGATCTTAACAAGCCGGTTTATCTAGAGACAGCCTGGTGGGAGCCTATAAAATGTGTATGCTGTAACTGCAGGTCCCACAATATGTCTGAAGTAGTGTAGGCTACTACTGCATTAGTGGGTTACAGTCCACAGGGTTGCAGAGTCAGACACAACTAAGTGACTATGCACTGCTGCACTGCACTCTCTCCCCCCAAAATAGGAACCCCTAAAGGGCACCCTATGTAGGACTATCAATATAAAACTGGGAGGTAAATCCATATTCCTACCATTTTCTTTTGTCCAGTTATTAAATTTAATTCAAGAACCTCTCTGAAAATGAGTACTAGAGAAAAGTATGCTCAGAAAAGTGTTATTAGCACTAGCTAACTTACCAGTTTCCACAATGGCTATTCTGAAGGTTGGGTAACAAATGGGATAGTGGCCTACTTTTCCTTACCATTAATAATTAGGTATCTAGTTAAGTCCATTAGACAGGCAGAGTAAATTGTGGGGAGAACTGAGTGTGGAGAATAGTCAAATTATTTTTCTATAAAAAAGGTCCCTTTTAACTAATTCTCTATTGAAGTTCTCATCTCATCCACAGGGTCTTTCAAAGGGAATGCCTGCACTGCACATTTTCTGTAGTTGAGTTACAGGACTCTTGGGGTATGTATTTAGTACTTGATGGTACTTTGGCTTCTGAAGACAGGGCATAGTTGGCTGAGAAGACATTTGTTTCTCAATTGTGGGCTGTGTAACTGTGTTCCTTTCTCAAGTGGGAACACGAGATGAGAATGAATGGTGGGTTTTTTATAACGATGCAGTTAGGAGTTTGTTAACTGCCTTTTGGAAGTCAGTGTAGGAATAAGTAGTGTTGATGGGTTCAGTGCGGGTTGTTTCCTTAACTGTTTTAGTTAACCAGCCACAGCAACAACCAGAAACACAGGAATTAGGAATCTGTTTTAGGTATTCAGGTATGGGGGTGGCTCTACTCAATGTTCGGCTTAACTGTTTGGTGGCAAACTGCAGTGGTCCGTTTAGAGTGGCATGGTCTCTAGAAAGCCGGCTGGGACTTATAAGGGGCTTTTGAAAAGGTGGTACTCCACAAGAAGCCAGAGGAGGCCATTCAGGAATTGGTTCCAGTTTGGGTACACAATGGGAGCAATGAGAGAGTCTCAGACCTATCTCTCGAAGTATATGGACTGGTGTGCTAGCATCCAGGAGTTTAGCATGATATAACCAGGAATTAGGATTTAACGGTTTCCAAGTTGTAGAATATTTTAAAAGGCACTTAACCTGCCAGGCAAGACTCTCAAGAGGTGTTAGGTTGGGCACCACAGGGTCCTCTTCTTCAGAGGAATCCCACTCTTCCCCAAAACTCTCATTTAGGTAAGTAGTGTTTTCTTCTTCCTCACTTTCTGATTCTGATAAGGGATCAGGAGAGGGATTTCTAGGACCCATTAAAATAGACCAACAGTATAGGAAAAAAGATACCAGGAAAAGGTAACAATCTAAGCCAGCAAAACACTAACACTGGCAAATAAAGCAAAAGATGAGAAGCTGTTTCAGTAAGATTCACTTGTATCTCAGTCTGTTAAACACACATAGTATGCCTCTGGCTTGCAACACTGTACAGTTCTTCAAGATTATGTTGTATATTCTTCACTTACAAAGAAGACAGCTCAGTTCTCAGCACCAGTTCAGTGTGTAAAAGTTAGTCACTTACCGGTGGCACAGGTCAGAGTCTCTCCTTCAAATCCTGGCTACTGAAGAAAAGAAGAGGTCATCGTATAGACAAGCTGATTTGCTAAGCATGGTCTCAACTGGTTGCAATTTCATGAAGAGACACTTTGTGTACTCTTTTTTGTTGGCAGAGATATCGTATCTATTTGGTAATGAAAAGAAACTCAGTGGTTGCCTTCTTTGTTGGCTGGTGCAATAACTTTTCTGCAGGGGGATGGTGGGATGAGTTGCCAAGGATCTGTCTGGTGTGCAATGATCCGATGTTTTCCATAGATGGTGCAAATGCCCTTGGAAACTGGAGACTTAGTTGCTGGACCATCTGCAAAGGTAGTCTTAACCTGTGAATGAGAAGACTTGAGACATGATATTAAAGTTTGAAAGCACTGGGTAACATTATCATCATCTAACTTCATAGAGTATCCAAGCACACTGATGCTAAGCAAGAAGCCTTATTGGCTTTCCCATCTCCAGCACATAAACAGGCAGATTCTCCACCTGGGACTGGCTACCACCACGACAAAATTGGCAAAGAGAGCCTGGGGCCACTTTAATCCTTTGTTGGTACATACCTGGGCCAGTTTGTTTTTTATTATGCAGTTCTAGACCAGGGATCTGCCAAAGCAGATGCCTTATGCTCCAAACTCCAAATAGGGAGCTGTAAAAGGTACCTTTTTATCTTTAGAGGTGCTTCTTGGCATTAATTTTAGGAGACCTGTCCTCATTGTAGTTTCTAGATATTAGAACTCTTGCTGGGACCCAGAGGGTGAGGTCCTATGACTATACTCTACAGATCATGGCAGGCATAAATCTTAATATAGCAGGAATTACAATGATTATAAACTGCTTAAATTCATAATTAAAAGACAGACACTCAGAATGAATTAACAAAACAAAATAAGATTCAGTAACATACTTTAAAGCAAAAAGACCCACAAAGGTCAAAACCAGAAATATGAACAAAGATGTTACCAGGTAACTGTGTGACCAGAATAAAGCTCAGATAGCAATCTTAATACCCAACAAAAAAGATTTCAAACCAGAAAATATAAGGAACAAAGATGGATGTTATAATACAGGCAAAAGTGAAAGAATAAAAGTGATATACTCATTATAAATGTCTACGAACCTAAAAGCACATCCTTAAAGTTCCTCAGGTAACGACTAATAGAACTGAGGGGGGAATATAAGCAGAGATATAAGCATTCTGAAACAGTTAAAAGTATTAATATGCTCTAGGAACTATAAAACACACACAGAAATATTTCATGCATTAAGTTATAAAGCATAACTAGATCCCAAGGGTGAACTTCATTTAGACTAAATTTTCTGACCATAATGCAATAAAAGTAGATGTTAAAAGTAATCATAGGTTAGGAAACTCAATAACTCATGGATTAGTAAAATGGATATCATAAAATACATTAAATATAAGATTGAATGGTAATATAACCATACAAGGCAAAATTTGTGGGGCATGGCCAAACCAGTACCTAGAAGAAATTCATAGCTTTGAACACACTTGTGAAGAAATAAGGAAGTTTAAATACCCCCACGTTAGGCATTCAAAATAACAGAAAAAAGCAACAGCAAAATAAGCAGAAAAGAAATAATAAAGGCAGAAATTAAACAGTATACAACAGAAAAATAGATTGATAAAAACTGAAAAACAGTTTTCTGAAAATATGAATAAGAAAAACAAAACTAGTGAGACTTATCAAGAAAGAGATTTAAAAATACTCCAAAAAAGATTAAAAGTAAAAACATATGCTAACACGTGAAAACCTAGATAAACTGGCTAAATTCTAGAAGAATATAAAATACTAAAATTCATATAGGAAGAAATAGATAACTTGAATAAAACAGACCAGTATTAAAGAAAGTGGAAAAGTAATAACCGCCTATTAAAAACACCACTCTCATAAGATTATGAGTTCCATTAAACTTGCAAGAAAATAAATACATATTTTATATTAACTGTTTCAGAAAAAAGCAAAAAAGCATAAAACTGATTAGCTTCTTTCATGATGATAATAAAACATTAATTAAATCTAGAGATGAAGCATATAAGAAAGCTATAGGCTCATTTTACTTGCAAAAATTTCAAATACTACCTAATGGAATGTAATAGTGTAATAAAGAAAAAAAGAATGTCATAATCATGTAGAGCTTGAAAGCAAGAACATCTCAGTTTCATAAATTTATAAATATAAATCACTATAGTAATAAAACAGAAAAAACTGGATAATTTTATCAATTGTGGAAATTTAACTCTTCTTAGTTTTTGACCAACACCTATTTATGACTTAAAAAAACAAAACACTTTAACCAAACTGGAAGAGAAAGCTACTTTCTCATCATGGTAAAACTTATCTACCAAAAACTTTCAGCAAATATTATCCTAAATGAGAAATTTAGATACATTCTCTTTAAAAATGAATTACATAAGGGTGATACTGATACTGTGTAACAAAGTACCAAAGTCCTAGTCAACATTGTTTTTTTTAAAAAAAGGGTGAGAACTGTAAAAAAATAAAACTATTTTACAGATGATATGGTCATCCAAATTTTTAAAAAAAACCCTAAAATATAAACTATTAGAGCTACCCAAAAAGCTCAACAAGGTTCCTGAATCTTTTTTCCAATTCACACATTAACCTATGAATATTCATTAGCTTATTTACATAGCACTTACTATTTGCCAAATACTATTCTAGGAATTGCACAAACACTACTCATTGAAATTCTAACAATCCTGTAAGATAGGTACTTTTATTGTCCCCATTTTATTTTATTTTTTTGCCCCCATTTTATACATGAGGTTTAAGCTACCTGTCGAGGGTCCTGTATCTACAAAATGATAAGATTTGACCACAGGCACTCTTAACTTCTATACCAGCAATATGTACCATAAAATATATTAAATAAACACTTTCACAATAAAGGAAAAAAAAAAACTCAGACCAAACCTATGAAGGATTTAAGAACTAATCAATAATATGCAAGACCTCTACAAAGAAGACTGTAAAATTCTAATCAAGGACACATAATTTAAAATAGACATTCCATGCTCTTGGATGGAACAAATGAATACTACAAAGATAACTTTTTTCCAAATTAACTCATACAATCTTCATATGTTAAGAATAAAATTCCATATATATCTAAACCAACTATTTAAACAGAAGAGTAAAGGAAGTTCTTGGCTTACAGGATATTAACACATATTAGAGAAGCCACAGAAATTAAAATAAGGTAGAGTTAGTATAAGAACAGGGCTTCTCTGGTGGAGTATAAGAACAAACAGTCCAGTGGAACAAAGCTCAGAAATAGAGCCACATAAAATTTTAGAATGTAATATAAAGTTAGCACATAAATCAAGGGGGGATGAATCCATCTAGCACATAATAATGATAAATCTGGCTCATTATATGAAGAAAAATAAAAGCTACCTATATAATGCCACATACAAAGGAGGACTCATGATAGATTAAAGATCTAAGTGAGAAGTATAAGACTATATAGTCACTAAATATAATGCAGGGGAGTATCTTTGTGAATTAGGAGCAGATGACTTCTTAAAAAAAAAACAAAACATAAAGCACAAGACCAAACTATGATGAGTTCAATCACATCAAAATTAATCCTTTCTGGACTGAAGTAAAGACATCAAGAAAAAAGTTAACTACAAATCAACAACAAAAGTAGCAATCTCAAAAAGAAATGAGCAAGGGACAAAAATACCCAGTTTACAGAAGAAAAAAATCCACAGGCCATTAACTATGTGAGTAAAGAGATAATCACATTATTCTATTATTTTGGTAAAAATTAGGAAGATGGATAATGCCAGGTGTTAGTGAGGGGACTAAAGGAATTCCTTTAGAAACCAGCACTATTGGTGGAATTATAGACTGGGCTAACCTTTCTTAAGAGCAATCTGGCAGCACTACTTAGCTCGACTATCTGCACATCTCAGGATCCATCAATTCTACTCTTGGGTTTATATAACAGAGAAAATCTCTGGAAAACCAACATGTATTCTGAAGCTTCATCTTTGATGGTAAAGAATTAGAAGCATTCAAAGTTTCCATCCCTAGAGGAATGGATAGGTAACATGTGATGAAAGCACATTAGAAGTATACCTAGCAACACAGATGGACTAAAAGCATAGGTCTGAATTGCAGAGTTGGCCATGACTTAGCAACTGAACAAGTGAAATAAGCAAAACCAAAGTATCAACATCCCACTTAGGCCATTTTGTAAGAATGATTTTCAAAATGAAAGTCTGTAACATCTCTAGGGTCAAATACATAGAGGTGATAAGGGCTGGCTTCCTGTCAGTAATGTTCATCTAAAGAACATTTTTCTGGGACTTCCTGGTAGTTCAGTGGTAAAGATGACATGCTCCCAGTGCAGGGGACACAAGTTAGATATCTGCTCTGGGAACTAAGATTCCACATGCTGTGCAGCACGGCCAAATAAAATAAGAGAATATTTCTCTGGCTTCTACTCATTCTTTTATCTAATTTAGTTCTCAGCAGTGGCACATATTAGGGGCTTAGCAAGTTTTTTTTTTTTTAATTAATGAGAGAATGGTAGAGGCCAGTTATAAGTTAACTACACAAGCATGTTTTACTTTTATTCTAGGGAGACAAAAATATGAAAATTTTAATATACATGTATGAGAAAGATATAAAGACATATGAAATATTTAAAAACAGAATCAACAAAGATACTACTAAAGCCATACAAAGGGAACTGCTTGTAACTTAAAACTTCATCTTTAAGAATACTTTAAAAAGTCTGTATTACCAACTTCAATCTGAAACAAAAAGAAAATTATAAATGTATTATAAGTATTTTATTGAGATAGGAGGTTTTAGCTTTTAATTCTTCTGTCCTCATAGTTTTACTATTTTCATTCAGCCAGATTCCATCTGCAAGACTATTAATTGGCTATACTTTAGTTATTGTGTTATTCAAAGCATTCTTTAAAAGGCTCATTCTACTATAGCAGAAATAAGACAAAGTTTCTTTGAAGGTATCTGTAAATTCTAGAGTGAACCCATTCTGTTAACCTCTTACATTCCGCAGGCACTATAGTGTTAGTTGCTCAGTCGTATCCGACTCTCTGCAACCGCATGGACTGTAGCCTGTCAGGCTCCTCTGTCCATGGGATTTTCCAGGCAAGAATACTGGAGTGGGTTGCCATTTCCTTTTCCAGGAGATCTTCCCAACTCAGGGATCAAACCTGGGTCTCTTCTATTGCAGGCAGATTCTTTACTATCTCAGCCATTACAGAAGCAGTTATAGGCATTATAACCCCATATCAAAACTGAATTACTGGGAAATCCCATGGACAGAGAGACAGGCAGGCTACCCTCCATGGGGTCAGAGTTGGACATGACTTAGCAACAACATGTATATGATGATAAAGTAACTGAACAAAAAACATAAAAACTGAATTAATCACTCTATACACTCCCATGTAAAATTTACCTTGAAAGAATGATTTTCCTGTAATTTCAGAAATAGTCTTACTATACAAATTATTTAGTTTGCTTAGTTTAATTGCTACAATTTCTTTTCCCCAATAGCATTAAAAGTCAAGACACAGATAAGCGAAAGGCAGCGAGTTTAACATAGTATCTTTTTAAAAATAAAGCCAGTTTTATTGAGGTATGACTGACAAATTGTATATAGTTAACATGTACGTGTGATATCCTGAGACATGTGTTCACTGTGAAATGATTACCACAATCAAGCTAATGAATATATCCATCACCTCACAGGTTTTTTTTTCTTTTTTTTTGCATGTTATATGAGGAGAACACTTAGGATCTACTCTCGGTAAACTTCAAGTATACATAATTAACTATCATCACCACAACGTACATTAGGTCTCCAGAAAGTTTGTATGCTTTGGCATCTTCCTATTTTCTTTACCTGCTAGCCACTGATAACTCCCTTTCTACTCTGTTACTGTGAGTTCAACTTTTTGAGATTCCACATGTAAACAGGATCATACAGGATTTGTCTTATTGTGTTTGGTTTATTTCATATGGCAGAATGTCCTCCAGGTTGACCCAAGTTGCTGTAAATTGTAGAATTTCCTTCTTTTTAAAGACTGAATAATGTCTGTATATAAATGTTTCATCTTCTTTATCCATTCACTCATTGATAGACACTTATTTCCACATCTTGGCTACTGTGAATAATGCTGCAATAAACATGGGAGTGCAGATACATCTTTGAGATAGTAATTTTATTTCCTTTGAATATATACCAAGGGGGATTCCTGGATCATATGACAGTTCTATTTTTACTTTTTTGAGGAACTTCCATATTGTTGCCCACCAACATGTATCAGTGTCCCTTTTTCTATACATCCTCATCAACACTTGTTATCTTTAGACTTTTTAATAGTCATTCTGACAGATGTGAAGTGATACTTTACTGTGGTTATCATTTGCATTTCCCTGATGATTCATGATGCTGACCACCTTTTCATATACTGGTTGGCCATTTGCATGTGTTCTTTGGAAAACTTGTCTATTCAGTTCCTTTGCTCATTTTTAATTGTTATTATTATTAATTTGCTATTGACTTGTATAAGTTCTTATACATTTTTTATATTAACCCCTTATGAGATATATGGTTTGCAACTATCTTCTACCATTCCAAAGACTGACATTTTCATAATCCAGTATCTTTTTAAAAAAAATTTTCAGATTATAATGTTAAAAAAATACTGAAAAAGGCATATTATTAAAACCTCACCTCCACAGAGCTTATCGAGATAGTTAGGCTGACCTCTGGTGGCCAATGCCTCACCCTTCAGTAACTGACGAAATGGTATGAATTTGTGGTGAGATAATGCAATAAAATATGGTAAAGGAAATAACAGAACTGCACAGTTAAAAAAGCAACAAAGGTAGCACACACCCAAAGCATAAGGAAGCCTGGGCAATAAAAGGCTACAAAATAAGAAAAATGCCTCCAAGTATTAGTTTGTTCTAACTTTTAGTTCACCAGTTGATTTTAGATGAAAAACAAATGGTTAAATTCAGTGGTTCCCAAAGTAAGAATAGTTCTAAACTAATACTGCAGCCACTAGCTCCATTTAGCACTTGAAATGTGGCTAGTGTAAATAATTCTCAATTTATGTTGAATACATGTTGAAATGCTATTTTGGATATACTTGGTTAAAAAAAATAATGCCCTTTTTATGTTTCTTTCACCACAGCTGTCTAGATATTCTATGTTTTAATCTACAGTGAGATTATAATTGTTATCAAGCATATTCCATGCACTCTTAAACCTCTATGATTTTCCTGCAACTGATTAACCTCAAGTACCACACATCTTGCCTTTTCAGAAATTAGACATCTTGATAATTTTGAAATTATGGGGACTCCAACTGCTACCATATTTATTTTAACTAGCATTTGAATACCTACAATGTTTCAGGAATTAGGACTATGAAGCAAGGGAATGTATTAACAAATTATAGCATACTCAAACAATAGAATATTAGAGAAACCTATCTGTACCTCAGTTTCCCCTGCTTAAAAAGGAGAAAGTAGTTTCAAGAGTTGTATCGGAGGATTAAATGAAGTGCTTAGAACAGTGTCTTGGCATAAAAGGCAATGAAATAAAATACAATTTTATGGCAAGAAAATAAAAATTAAAACAAATTTTTTCTCTGCCTGTTTGGGCCTCCTCCCTCCCCTTTAGTGTGTGTTGTGTAGCTGCATTAACCAGACCTCCTAGGAGATAACCTTCCTTCTTAATCTTGTAAGGGGTCTCGTATGACCTACTACTCTCTTCATACCCATAGATCTGGATTGTGTAAACTGTCAATAATGCGTTGACTGTCACCTTTCCTCTCAAAAACATATATAATCGTGCTTAGTCCTCTAAAGGGCAGAACAGTCCTCAGAGCTTTCTGAAAGACTATCTCATGGGTTATAATCCTCAGGTTGGCTTGAGTAAAATTTTCCTTTTCCTTCCTAGATCAACCACTGATTACTTTTTCCTAGACAAAGGGTCCATAAGGTGTTCAGTTCCTGTTACGAAAGTATCAATATGAATAAACTTCAAAAATAACAGTTATGGGAAAAAGCAGGTTCCATATGATTATTCATATAACGTTAGAACATGAAAACAATACAGTATACTTATTCACAGATTTATTCATATGTCATTAACACACAAAAGTTAACAGTAAATTAAGAATATCCCCCCCCACCCCGCCCTCCAAAAAAGAAGAAAACCCATTACTGCCGGGGAGGGAAGATAGTTCGACAGGAAAAAGGCGTACATGAAGCACTGTAATCTAATTCTGTTGATTTCTACCTGAAATAACTCCATTAAAAAAAAATTCGAAAGGCACTCCAAATTTATCTTAATCTCTATCCCCTTTCCCAATCTGTTCTCCTTTGTTGAAAGCGCTGCCCTTAGGTACTTTGTGGGGCTTCCCTGATGGCTCAGTGGCTCCCTCCTGCCAAAGCAGGAGATGCAGGTTAGATCCCAGCGTGGGGAAGATCCCGTGGAGGAGGAAATGGCAACCCACTTCAGTATTTTTGCCTGGGAAATCCCCCACGGACAGAGCAGCCTGGCGGGCTACAGTCTCTGGGATCGCAGTCAGTTGGACGCGACTAAACATGCACGTTTGTAAACCAGGCCTTCAAAGCCTGTACATCTACAACAAGCTGTATCTAAATTAACTCGAGCCTCTCTTCCCAACTGCCTCCCAGGTTTGCAGCCTCTCCACCAGCAATTTCACTGTGGGGCGAGGTTTAAGTAATTAGATGTGAGCACTGACCAGAAGGACAACAACCGCTCAGAATTAAAAAGCGGCTCGCTTCCATCAGAAAACCGCGGAACATTTCCCTTCTCAGTAGAAGCCGGGACGCTGCGCAGCACTCCCAGACGCCCCCCTTCCCTCCTCCCCTTCAGGGGGAGCAGGGATTCTTCCCCTCAGCAGAGTCCCTGTTCTCACCCATGGAGGATCCTTTCTTCTTCCTCGCCTCACCCCAAGTCGCAAGACCCGATTAGGCCTAGCGCCACCAGCTCGGTTCCAATAGTCGAATCTCCACAGAGTTCGCACTCCCGGCGGATATCTCTTCCGGGGGAGCCAATGACCCTTTCTCTTAGAAACGCCAAGTATCCGTCGGAAAACGGCTTAAAAGACCCTCAGCGCATGCCCAAACCGCGACGTCGAAGGCAGTGGATTCACCTCTTCCAGCTCTCGCCGCTCTACGCACTCGCGGTAGTATCGCGGTATTTCCTTCTCCCGCGGGAGTAGTTTGAAAGCTTTGGCGGTAACCACGCCCTCCACTTCTGCTTCCCAGTGGAGACGCGGACCTTGGTCCGTCGGGCCAGCTGTAGGCGAACGTGAGCAGGCTTCGTCTCGGCCGGGTACTGGCGCCATGGGGAAGGAGAAGAGACTTCTACCGATTAAGGAGGCCTTCCAGCTGGCGCAGCAGCCTCACCAGAACCAGGCGAAGCTGGTGGTGGCGCTGAATCGCACCTACTGCTCGGTAAGTGCGGCCGCCCGCGGTCCGGGGCCCCCGCCTCTCCCCTCCCCAGCCTCTCTCCCAGGGGCTTCCCGCTACCCTTCCGACTAATCTCATCACGACTTCAGTCTCAACTTTCCAGACCCGGTTCGAAGAGGTCTACGGCGTGGACCGTTAATTCTCTGGCGCTGAATTTAAGAGAAACGTTTGTGCGTACCGGGGCGACCTAGTGTAGGGCTGCATCCTGGGTCCTGAAAGTGGTGGCTCAACGGTTGTTGTCCTGGTCACCGCCCACATCTAATTACTTAAACTTCGCACCACAGTGAAATTGCATCAGATCACCAATTAGCAAATTAATTGTTAGCACCAGAGTCTTCCTAGTCACGTAAATACTGTTTGCTTCCTTTTGAATGAAGCCTTGTAGACGAATAGGACAATGGATTTCAGGAAAATAAATTATCTTGAGGTGCTAGAAAAATTATGTCAGTATAATAGGGCTTGAGGATATGAGACAGGATGTGAAAGTTATTATCGGAAAGGAATTGCTGTGTAATATTAAGGGTAATAGGCTTCCCCAGTGGTTCAGCGGTAAAGAATCCGCCTGCAGTTCAGGAGCCTCAAGAGACGCGGGTTCGATCCCTGAGTGGGGAAGATC